TTTTTTTGTTAACAAGCAGGTCAGTTTTGACCGTCTCGCATTCCTCCAGATTGCCTCAACCCATGCAGCACGCGGCTGTGCGCGCGCGCCAACATCCAGTAGCAACGAGACGCAGCTTCCTACCTGTTAGCACGAGACTTACCTTTCCCTCTCATCTCCTTTGACATAGTGTCCTCTCCCGTGTGACTCCTGTGTTGTCTTTCGGTGAAGCCGTGGCTGTTGCTCTGCGCAGCAACGTTTGGGTCCAGTGGTTCTCTGAAACAAGGGCTCTCCCTCCTGCGGCACCTTGACGCCTGCCACGCCGAGGCAGGGTGAAGGAGGCACGGGGAAGCTTCTGCCGCCGTGTTGGTCTCGTCTCACCGTGGAGATGACAGAAAATCAAAAACAAGAGAATCTGCAGCTTGGCTCTCATTAACCTGAGTCAGGTCCCTCACAGCGTCGACCCGCCCCTGCCGCAGACATACTTTGGGTATTTGTTGTATCTGTGCAGACTTGGCTCACATGTCATGCTCACATGTTATGCCCAGCCAGCTCCAGTCCTCCTCTCCATCGCTAACATCAGCCACAGTTCCTCCAAACGAGCCCCGGTCTGCAGCTCGACTGCCTCCAGCGGTGCGCACACGTCCGCGGCTGCTGAAGGGCGTCCATGCTCTTTCCGATCACCTGTTTCTGACTGCATAATGCTTTCAAAGGAGTATTCAGAATACGACAAAAAGCTAATTCAGTCACTTCGAGTATCTAAGTAAAGCTTATATTGACAGTCATGCGGCAGATTTTGTAATATCTTAATTAGCATAGGTTAATAGGTTTAAATTCATTGTATACCACAGCGGGATATTCCCAAAAATGACAGGAATTGCACAGGATATTAAAACACAAGGTCTAAGTAAGGCTATGCAAGTGGCCTTTCTTGTGTCTTTTTCTTCTCTACAGGGTGTGGCTGTTGTCTGTAACCTATTAAAGACTATATGGAGAAGATGGAGGATGAGAGGGAAAGGACATAGCCTAGTTACAGTCAACAGAGTCTCCTAAAAAGATATGAAGATATGTATTCAACCATCCACATCTGCTCGACAGCAGATCTTTTCATCGAACAACTTACTTTTTGCTGCAACATTTTGCTGTATTAATGCGGCATTTGTTGAAAAAATGAACCACTGTTTTCTGACACAAGACCTGCAAACATGATGTCCACGATCAGATCTGGGAAGCTGCAACAAGTGTTAATGCAGTGACGGTTTCTCTGAAGCCAAAACACATAAATAATGATTATATTGAGAAGTGACTAAATCAAAAAATAACCCTAATATTTTGGATGAAAAAGGGCAGATGTCATTGTGATTTTAAATTCAGCATATTTTATGAGATTGATGATGAAGAACGATCATGGGAGCCTGCACAACAATATCATTTGAGTTAAACGTAATTTTACATTTCAAGCACACAAAAATCATTGGAATGTCCAATGTTGTACATTTTCTCAACGCAAAGCCTGGTTGTTCCATGAATGCAATATTAAAGAGGAAATAGAGAAGATGAGGTAGAAAGATAAAGAGCAGACAATAAATCAATGGGGTGGAAGCTCCCATGCCTGTTAACCCTCCATCACTGGAGCAGCATGTCACCTAGGCTGCGAAGGGGCAGTCATCAGAGTAGAACAGAAAATCTTCTGGGCTCTGACAATCTGCATCTCAAAATAAACCCTCTTTAAACTAAAGATCACTGACTTTCTTTCTAGGGATATCAGACAAACACAAGCCATATGATCATGGTCCCTCGGCTCTAAATCCACTAAATCCAGTCATGCGATCTGCTCTAATCTTCCAGATGCTTTACCCAACGGGTTCTCCAGTTCCTTTTTTTAAGCTTAACTTAACCCTCTCTACAGCAATGCTTGACCTAAATTGCTGCAAAATGGGTTGCCCCTTGAGCACTTCTTGTACACGATACACACAACAGGGTGTGAAGTGGACATTTTGACCACATGTGAGGTCACAGCGACCCAGGAGGATTGTCTTATTGGCCTGAGGCTTCGTTTTGCCACCGTGTCCACACAAATGGATATTACTGGCAGAGGAAAATGCCTTTGGCCGAACCATCGCTTTGGAATCCATGATTTTGGCATGCCACATTACCAAACTCAAGCTGGAATACATGCATGCAATTTGGATTTATCTTGAAATTAAATGACCAAACACTTTTAGAGCGCCTTGTCCAGCTAAGAAAAACTAATAGTGAAAAGGCCTTAAGGCCAGGGAGCCAGCGAGACAGATTGCCCTGATTACAGCAAATGGCTGCACTGACTGGACCCAAGCGGAATAAAAGGCTAATTGAATTTAATGAATGTCTTTTGTAAGGTGATTCTCTCAATGCAAGGACATACTGTACCTCAAATTGTAAAACACTTCCACATCAGAGAAGACACATAAACAACAAAAAGCAATGAAAAGAAAAAAGTTAAATAAAGTGCAGCTCAAAAATGGTAGGTATAGACTCTGACAGAGTATAGAGCACACTGCTAGAATGACATAACACTCTTAGAAGATGAAGGCAAGACCCCTTTCAGCAATGTACGCTGTCCTGGGAGCCATAAAGGAGTCACAAAAATCACACTACAATATGTGGCAGTCAGCAAACTAGGATTCCAATACCTGAGGTGCAGATTTGTTGCTGTTCCCTGAGAAAACAATTCAGCGCCTTTGTTGGTGGAACTGAAAAATCAGCAACTTCGATGAGTCAATTGCAGCATTGGGAATTGGAATTGGGGTAGTAAGGAATTCAGTGTCAATGGAATGTTGTGGATTCCATCCTTCAGAATTAAAAGAGGAAAGGTAATCGGGAATCTTTCCAAGAACAGCTTTGTAAAAGAAGATATACCAATGACCGAGCTGGTGTGCACTAAAAGCAGTCCAGTTGACTTTAGACAAAGTGCCATTATGAGTAAGGAATCCACATTTTCTCTGCAACATGATCAACTGTCCAGCTTTATAAGACTCTAAGCAGAGGCAATACAATACATCACCATAATCAAGGACAGGTAGAGAGGTGGACTCTGCTAGTTTCTTTGCGACATTAAGGAGAATCTGGACTTATTTCTGTAATAAAACCCCAATGAGACCTTCAGCTTTTTCCTTCATCACGTTCAGAAGTGACAATGATATGCTGGGAAGATTTTTTAATAATGAGGAAATGTAAAATGCATGCTGGCCTCGGGGGAATCTGTTGCCTTGAGCTGCACTTCGCATATGTTCACTTATGACATGTGAGCCTTTTGCATGTTCCATATTAACATCTCAAATATCTTTAAAGTTTAATATATAAATGCGTCCTTTAACATGAAGCCAACGAATTAAATTTTAAATAGAGGGAGGGAAGTATGTTACATAACTTTTATCTTGGTCAGATGACACGTTTCCTGATTTGGGTGTAACGTTCCGGGCCAGAGATCAGATACACTTCTCTTTTTTTTTAAAGTTGAAAAACACTGAATTTTCCACATTACTCTGTGGTATCCCCCTTGCTTCAGAATCAAATTTGCTTTGAGGTTGATAGATTTGATCTTTCAGTCTCATAATCCATCATAATGCATCTTTTTTTCCCCCCCAACACAATAACGTTACAACTTGCAGAAAACTCTGAGACCATAAATCAACCCAGCAATGCACAGCTATGGTTGGATTACTGATGCAACCAGTCAAGAAATTCCAAAGTGTTTTATGAGAACAGCTAACAAAGCATCAAAATCATTGGACTAGAAGGGACCTGCACAGGGATATGCTCCGTGTAAAATGCTAGTATTTCCATGACAGGTGTCTCAGCAGAAATCCTCTAGAAGCTCAGTAAGAGCAACCTGAGAAAGAAGTCAAAACATGTCACCATCCATCAGGTTTAGTACTTTGCATCAGCTGAAAATGTTTCAAGAGCTACTCAAATGCATCAACGCAGCCTTTACTTACCTGAACTTTAAGTGGCCTCTTTAGTGCAGCATGAATATATTGCAGTCTACTTCCTCTCTAGTTCTGAAATTAGCTCTGATAATGAGTCAGCGCTGGCTGGTGGCAAGGTCGACCCTCCTGGACCATAAGAATTAATTATGATATGCAAAACTGTTCTGGATCTGTGTACAGAAACATCTGGTTGTGCATGTTCATGATTAGATGAAATCTAGGCATAGTGATCATAAAAATGCATATTTTGGCATTACTACAGTCGGATTTGCATAAAGAAATGTAAAAACAGAGGACTGATTTCCCAGCTCTGTGGTTTGCTGACAACACAGTTTCACATTCAAACTCTTGAGTGGTGCCTGCTGAGAAGGCAGAAAATAAAATAAAGAAGGCTTTGTCTTTCAAATGACACATTTGGCAGACATAGTTGAAATTTCTGAACCATAACAATCCATAATAATTAGAAATCAACCCCTGAAATTAAGAGCTTCATGTCTATCACCCACAAATGTCAGAACAGCCTCAGTTCTTTTACGTGTGTGTGTGTGTGTGTGTGTGTGTGTGTGTGTGTGTGTGTGTAAAGATGACAACACTAACCCACTTGCCTTATGCTGACTGATTTCTATCTGTCCTTCATAGAAAGGAAGAAATTTGCTCGGAGCTTGCGCCTGTGAAAGGCTGGATGTGTGCTGACACCCACACAGAAACCCAGCCTGTGAGAAAAAAAAATAGGGGGAGCTGATTCAGTGTGAGCTAATTTATTCAGTCACTGTGTATGTCTACTGTCAAAGGCTGGTCCCCACAGGCCAATGCAACATCTGGATGTGTCCTCTCGGCTCTGTCCTCACAGCTTTCATGTTACTCTCAAGGGACTTGGCACTTTTTTGGCCTGCCAAGTCTGTCATGTTAATTTTGCATTTAGAGTTGACTTTTTACACTATTATTATTTAGGATTCAGTTGGTCAGAAGCAACACTATATATACCAATCTACAACATGTTCACACCTATCAACCTTTCATACATCAAACAGTGAGGGATAACAAGCCTTTTTACTGTGTTTAGACCCCTTTATTAGACATGAAAGCAAACGAGGATAACCTGTTAGTCACAATAGATTTAACACATGATGCTCTCGACTGCCTATGCAATTCATTTGCGACCGTATGCAATTAATGTATTTCCAACGTGAAAATAGAAAGTGCAAGTAATCCTCGGGGAGATTTAAACCAAGTGCAACAGGAGGGCGGTAATCTTATAATCCTCTGTGATGTCGTAATGGTCTCTCGAAGCTTATCGAAACTAAACTAACTTTCCCCTGTGGAATTCAATCACAGCTACAGATGGACCACAAAGGGTAACGTGACTCACGCTCCCTGAGAAATTCAACTATCTTTGTCTGGTGCATCTTCATTACAAAGTATCTGTAAACCTAATTAAATAAAGTCATATCCATATGATATGAAAGCAATGATCTATGACCAATTTCTTAATGTCAAAAAGAATAAAAAGGCTCCCCACCAAATGAAATATCTGCAAATAATCATAGCCCTTATTTGAATTTTTTCTACTTGATATTCAAATCCTCAAATCCTTTTTTTGCTGAAAGTCAAAAAATTCAGATTTTCAACAAATAAATATGTTTTGGATATAGTTCATAAAAAAACCTCTATCTCAGCCACCGTGCTGTAGCTTCCTATTGGTTAATCAGAGCCGCAGCAGTAGCAGGAGGTGACTGGACTGGCTGGAGAAACTCTGAGGTGAAGACGGCCTCTGCGTAGTCCTCCACGACGTCCTGAAACTCTGCAGCCACGTCAGCCAGAGCCTCCGACAGCAGCTCATCTGCCAGGCTGCAGAACACGACAAAACAGAAAGAATCAAGTTTAAAACAGAGCTGCGGAATTAAAGTCCAGCACGTGACAAACCACACAATGAGACAAAGTGAGCATGAATAAACAAATTACTGGTTCACAAAAACTGAAAGAATCAAGACAGTGTCTTAGAAGTGGGACTTGACCTTTTAAAATGAGTGGCTGACAATGTTTAAAAAAATGACACAGCACTGGCTAAGGAATCAAAAAAAATATAAATCCATGTGACATTATTTTCAAAAACTGCAGAAGCTGTGATTAAAGCAGATTTTATCCTCAGCAGCATGTCTGACTTTCAGAGCTTGACATGAAAAACTGAAATATGCGCTTCGCCTTCAAAGGCGTAAAATGAATGAAAATAACTCAAAAAGACTGGTGGGCTGGGAGCGGCACAGAGCTAAATTTCCGTGTTTTGATCATTATCTAGGTCAACACACACACACACATACATACACACACACAGGCAGGGACATAGGGGAAGAGTGAGCGTGGCGTTCTCTTTTGGACCACCCTTGTTAAGCCCCCCCCCAATACCTTGAGTCATTCGGTGCAACTAAACAATGAGTAATGTTGTGTTGTTGAACGGCCTGTTCTTTTATTGTGTGAATACTGGAACACTCTGAACCAGGGTGAAGAAGCAACCATTAGGGAACGGATTGGGAACAACCGTTGGGGAATTTTAATAACACTAATGTGCTAAAAGCCACGCTAACGCTACTGAATGACACTTCATATTCTGTGTGATTAATGCTCCAAATACAATGATATCTCACCGTAAAAACCAAATTATCAATCCTAGCATGCGCGAGTAATTGTGCAGCAAAAGCTTGGTATTAATGTGTGAATATGAAGCATAAGTTCCTCCAACCACTGAATAATTACTGTTCGCTGTTTTGCCTTGCATTTCCATATTCATCTGTCCACCACAGAGAGCATACACAAATTAAAGAACTTCAAAGGGAGCCTAACACAGCTTGATGCAAGCATGTCTTCAGTGTTTTCATGAAGTTTTTCTACTTTGTAATCAGTCTCTTGGCAGAGTGAGATCATCCATGATGGTGTGACTCCTCTGCATCACTCGGCTGCTCATTAGCATCTCATCACACAGGAAGGTTTCCGCACCGTGTCAGAAAAGCAGGGGGAGTACCTGCCTGTATGTATGTTCCCTCTCTGCCTGCACAACCCGCTGAGATAATTGGCTGGCTTCTCCTCACACAATATTGTAATTGTCCTCCAAACTAAAGTGCAGACCCATCTCTTGAACATTTTGGTGTACTTGGGATGCCATGCTTTGGACAGAATTTGTCATTGTTTTCTGAATTGAACTGAACCTTATTGAGCTGTTCACACTCCAACACGTCTCTTTGCAGAGAAAGGAGTCTGAAACGTATGTATCAAACAGATGTAGTATATTTAGAGTTTGAGAGGGAGTCTTCTGCATTGCAGCAACTTAAGGATTCTGTTAGGTATGTAAATGTATGAGTGGGTGGGAAGAAGAAAGGCAAACACCAGAAATGCATCGTCTTTTTTATCTCTTTTTTTATGTCTTACGACAGATTCTGTGACGCAGACCTTAATTAACCTTACTTGTTACCTGTCTGCGATGGCCCAGGGGTTGAAGCTGCCGACATTCTCGTGTGCCACTACACGCAGGTAGGCCTCATAGTCTTCCCTGTATCTCCGGATGTTTCCCAGCATGCCGCCTGGCACAGAGATAAAAGTCCCTCGGCTCCGCTCCGCTGGGCCTGGGAGGAACACGTTGCTGTGTGTGGGCCGCTGCTCATCTTGGGACGCCTCCTCCGCCAGGCTGCTCTCAGAGAGAATGCTGTTTGTGAAGAAACACAAGAGGAGGCTTATGTTCTACGACACCTTTTTATTACCTTGACGCCTCACACTGTATGAAGAGGGTAAAGGGCCTCTGAGTGCTGCGGCTGTGGAGAAGAGTTTATTGACGTGCGGGAGCCGGCATGGAGTGCAGCCCTGTGATTGACCAGAAACCCTCGTTGCTCTTGATATGCGGCCGAGGATGATGAATTTAGGAGAGGTGTCGTAGTGAGCCGGGGCTCAGCTGGGCATTGCTGTGGTCTGACTTTATAATCCTCTCTGCTCGGACAAATCAGCCTGGCTCCTGCGACGGCACTCTTGGTGCTATATTTAGTGTTGCAGCGGCTACAGAAGCAAAGTGCCTCTCTATTGTGCTCGCCGGCCTCAGCTGAACTGGTTTCTGTTTTGACTGTGGCGGCTGCAAGCTGTGGGGTGGCCATCAATATCAAAGTGCCAGCACAGTTAGCTCTGCTTCCAGTCCCAAAATGGGTCGATTTGCTGTCTGATGATGAGCATCTGAGGACAAACAAGGTTGAAAGCAACAAATACAGCATCCTGAAAATTCCCTTCACCATAAAGTCAGAACAGCACCCATGCTTTCTGTGCCTTATTCAAAAACAAACAAGCAGCCCTATCAACAAACACCATCCAGACATTGTCTCAAAATTATTCTCCAAGGGCAAGATAATTCTGTGGAATAATACAAGTATCCAAGTTGTTCCCACTAATTGTCAATGGAGAATTAATTTCTCTATTTTGCCTTTAAGAGCTCAATTAGAGGACAAAAGGATAAGAAGCAACTGTATATGATGGCTGTCATGAATTCTGTGTTTTCCGCGTGGGCTGCGATTGACAGGGAAGCACAAATGAGACGACTGAATCGCTAAAAAAAAAAAAATCCTCTTCCCGTCATATTCGCCCACCCACTGTGCAACTTGGCCTTCACAATACATACGCAGACTCAAACCGATGAACAGCACTGGCAGAATAAACATCAAGTGACTTTGAAGATCACAATCAGTGGTCTTCTTCTTTTGCTCTAAACGCTCTGGCTATGTGTCACCAGGAAAGAAGAGAACTTGGCAAAGGACTAGGCCATACAGTAAATCAAAAGGGACACAGTCACTGTTAAAGCTGTGCTGGACAGGGAGGAAAGAAGCGCAGAGATTGTCCGGTGTGATTCAGGCACAGATTCACAAAGACCCGAGTGAGATCAATGGTGGAAGAAACAGAGGGAGCATGGACCAGTTGGAGTAAACTCATAGATTGATGCATCTCATTTAAGTAATGCTGGATTCTTTGATATCCCAACACAGCTCTTGGCTTGTTTGAAATGCTGCTTCCATTAAATAAAAAGGGGGCAGGTGGAGTGAAAGAGCAGATAAGAAAACAATACATGAAAGGTTGAGAATATTGCTGAGTGGGCCTTTCATCTTTTCATTGATGTGTTTGACCTGCTGATGGAACTGCAGGGCCGGAATTAGCCAAGCGGGCACGCAGTCAGGGTCCGTGTCTGAGCTCCTCACCATGGATACATAAATCTTATCTGCCGCTCCGCTGATGTTTCCAAAGATCAAATCTCTCACCTCATTGTCTCAGCGGCCGCCTGATAGCACTCAGGCGAGCACAAAGGCAGGCAGGGTGAAGAATAACGGATGCTGTTTTGGAAATAGATAATGGAAGTGTTAAGATATTGGCGTTATGTCAACAACCACCTTCTAACAAATACTTTACCTCTTCAGTTAGATCCTGAGGTACCATAACAGCAGAGACTCTGAGAACTGCCTGAACATATTACAGTTATGAAAATGTAACACCCTCTTCCTCTGCTCTGTGCCTTTCTTACAACACCTGAATGAAAAAAATCAGGATTGCTTTAACCAGGAACAAACTGCCAGTGCCCTAGTTAGTGCAAACAATACAATCAAAGAAAGCTCTGGAGATTAGCAGAGTTAGAAATGTCTAATAATACGTAAGCTGTCACTGTCTTCTTCCTTTGTGAGTTTCTTCTGTGTAGGTGTCGCACATGACTGTGCGCATGACACTGTTTTCCTTCTAATGGCACAGACTTCTGAGTCTCTCTGGGCCGACAAAATCAATCAATCAAAACAGAGACAACACACATGATGATGAGCTCTTCACATGTTCTGCTGTTACAAACCACACAAATGAAAACCTCTCTCTATTCTGTCACGCTGAATGCTAGAGGAGTGAGCACAGGGAGAGGCTTTAACACAGTCCAAACATCTTCACTCCAACTGCTTTGTAAAGGCTCTACAGGGAAATGCTCATTAAATCAGATCTAGCGAGTGAAAGGAGAGCCGAATGTTATTAATGGAATCAATAGTTCTCCATTCTCTGCTGTGTGCTGATCACTACACCAGAGTATTGATTGTCTGGACTTACAGCATAGGCACAGTACAGTACAATGGCTGCCGTATTGAATCACAAGTGGGATCAAAGTGGGAGTAAAATGGGAGTTGATATTTGTCATTATCAGGAAAATTATAAGTCTTTGACATTAGGGTTAGGAATATTTTGCAGAACACAGATCCCTGAAAACAGAATGTTAGACTTCAACACACCAACACAATCAAACTCAAATAACCTGGCTGGTATAATGTAGTTCTTGTGTACTATATTTTTTAGAGCCCGACTGATAAATCTGCCAGCCGATAATCTCGGCAGATATCATCATATCAACTGACTATCGGTATCGGCTAATTTTATCTCCGATATGCGCCGATATTACTAGATTTATTCACCAGTCGAATAGTATTTCATTTGAGTTTGATTGTATTGCACTAGCAGTTCTCTTTCACCAGCAGAGGGCGCTATATGGATTACAAGTAATGAGCAGTTACTTTCCTTTTGAGTGACCATCTTGTCTTCAATATATATCTTTTTGATAACTGCATTTTAAGGATCAACACAATAAATGTGTATATCTGTATCTATATCGTTCAGTGTCTCCAGATCAAAGATAGATCTAAGAAAGATATCGGCCATTATCAGATTTTTTCTCTCTAATATCGATATCAGTATCGGCCCCAAAAATCTCACATGGGTCGGGCCTTAATTTTTTTTGTTTTTTTTGTTTTCTGTAATTTTTTTCTCTGCAGATACAGGCTGTTGTTCTGTGTAACCCTGCTTTACCTCACTTCCTCTCCTCTGTTGTTTGTTATAAAATGTGTCACCTGGGTCGTTTTAGCCGGCAGCACAGGCAGCCCACTCATCTCCTTCTCCTACCGCTCAAGCCAGCTTGCAAAGCAACTTCTTGGCCCCAAAAGACAGCTCTACTTAACAATGTGCCTAATCAACACAATTCCTCTTTCTATCTCTCACCCAATGACTCCCAAAGTCTAACTTTATTACTTCTAAAGGGACTAAATGCTGTGGGGGGGGAACAAGCTGTTGTCTGTGTACAGCACTTTCTGCATGCACTTTGTTGTACACACACAAAAACCATGAAGAAATATAGCATATTTGTAAAAAGTCATTCTGTTGGTAGAACATCACACTCTCTGTCACAAGTGTTCATTTTATTGGCAGAAGCTTTATTGTTTCCTCTTTTGATACATAAATATAGATTTGTGCCAGCACAGAAATCTCACTGCGCCCCTTAGGTTTTTGAATTTGGCTGTGGGAATTTGAATTAAATATGAAAATCAAGACTATTTATCCAAACAAAAGCACTTAATCGTCCAAGCCGTGGGAATTAATTGGTTTGGTCCCCATTGAGTGTGTGGAAACGGGGCGAGTAATGTGGACGATGTATTCAAATCGATGGTAATTATTTTTCAAAATGATAACGAGGTTCAATTACTGCATGCCAAGCAGTCTTGGAGCCAGAAAAAATATGATGCAGGAACATTTCAGCAGCTCCATAAAAAATTGAGCTGGTGTGGGGACTAATGGAGAAAATTTACTTTCGAGAGAGTGCATATCAATCACTTCCTGTGAAAAGCCGGCTTGTGCTGAAATACTGAGCTGATTCATCCATCAATGTCTTTCTGATTTAATCTCAATAAACCTGTTTTTGTTAATGCAATATGATAACACACCACCCTCAAACTTGTATAAACTTGTTTCCTTTCTTTATTTGTAACTCGAGAATTAAATTCTTAAGACTTGTTCAGGGCTCGATATGCTCACTAGTTATTCATTTATTATCATTTTATACCATGTCTTCTACGTTTGCATTTCACTAAGGTTAATTTGCAATCAAACTTTTGAACTGGTGTCAGAAAATCGTAACAGTATCTCCTGTGATTCAGTGTGTACAAAACGAGAACAGAAAAAGGGCTCCAGCAGGGTGCCAGTACTTTTAAAAAAGGCACTGTAATGAAGATTGAGGATAAAGTGCTACAGGCAGCTCTGTCTCTGCTTAATGCCAAAGTGATTCAGGGAGTTTCACAACAACTGAGCTGGCAGTTCTCAAAATGACTTCTCTTTAGAGAGCTGCAAGGCTGGATACCTTTGAAGTAAGAAATAAGTCTTAGAAAAACATAACACCTCCTCTGAAAAATCTAGACACTAACTCTGCGCCTGTGCTATGTCTGCCAAAAGAAATAGAGCTATTACTTGATGGAAGGAGAGTATTAGATGAGTCAGAGTCGATCTCGGGGCAAAGTTTCCATTGAGGGAACTGAACCTGAGGCACTCCGAGTCTGACAGACTTTAATTTGCTAATGGTGCAGCATGAATTTATCAGAAGCAGCATCCTGCTGGCTTGACTGTGTCAACAATTTCTAGTCCTTCCGCTCTCTTTCCTCCCCTTTCTAAGTTCCTCGTTAATTGAAGCACAGAGCAGCTGCAGCCAAAGCCCTGGGCAGCATAGGAGCTCTCGGAGGAGTCGCTGCCAGAGTCAGGAATAGACTCAGCCCTGGGTACGGTAGCCACCAAGTGGCTTTTGTGGGATGAGTAAGGCCTCCCAGTGGGAAAGTGTTTATGGGGCAAGCGACACGTGATGTGGAAAGAAACACTGCATCTTTGAATAAACATTAAGCACTGCACTTTTTACGAGTCTAGGGGCCTAATTAAAACAACGACTGACTTACTGGGGTTAATGCTAATGTTGTTCTTATATACTACAGGGAGTCTTTAACTGTGGTACATTTATTCTCCTGTAAAAAAAAAAAAAAAACATGTGCAAAATCTGACCTAGAAATACAAAAGTAATCAAAAATTTGGGAATAAATTATGTAGCTCAAAACCTCATACTGCAACCCAAGTTATAATCTGGGAACACTCCAAAATGTCCTACTGCATAAAACATCAAGGAGGGACATCCAGCAGGAAACGATGAGTAACAGAAATGATTTAAGTGTCAACAAAGGAGAAGGCAAATTAGACAGTTAACTCACCCAGTCTCCACCGGTCTCTCTAGGACAATATCAGCTGCAGAGCTCTGAATCAGCACTGGCCTTGTGAGCCTAATAGGCTGAGGAGAGGCTGGCCTCGAGCCCGGAGCATGACACAGGGGTCCTGGGAAAAAACAGAGAGAGAAAAGAGTGTGTCAAGAGAGATGGGGTGAGGCAGGGGCCAAACAGATAGACAAGAGATGATTAAGACTGGTAACTATACAGTATGCCTATTCTTGTCTGTTGCAGCGCTGTCTCCACCTACAGGAGACATCTGGGAAGTCATCTCTGTATTGCAGTGTTGGATGAACAGGAGTGTGTTTGTGTTACCTGGCGCTCCTGGTCCATCCCAGTAAAGAGGGTCTGAATAGCTGATGGTAGCAAACCGTCTCCTAACTTCCTCTTGATCTCTCTGTTCACAAACACACACGCACACACACACAAACACATATTTCATAAACATGTTGTCCACATGCCATGACAGATCATCATGATCAAGACTGCATCAGTAAACATCACAGGATCAAAGCTTTCAAAGCGGTCTGAGTAAAATAACAAACCAATGACTAGTGACCTTTCAGGTTCCAGACTGACCTTTCATTGGCAGACCTGTCTGCTGCTCTCACCTGTATCTCCTCCATCCGAAGTAGCATGCTCTCCAGGGTGGGGGCCTGCAGCCTACACAGGGCCGCGTCTTCCAACTGTCTGTCTGTCTGAGCTGCCCACGCTGCCCGCGCAGTGTCCTCCAACAGATCCTCCAGCAGGGCCTGGCTCAGCTGCTCCGCACTCTCTGCTGCCTTTGGAAAAAAGGAACCACATTAAAAAAAAAAACAACAACACAGAAAAGATGATGAAATTGTTCCATTTAGTTGAGTTATTTTTGAATAATAGCCTCCGCTCTGTATCCAGCTTACCCGCTCTGCAGCCTGATCAGACAGCCTATTCCTCAGCGAGGGGCTGATTCGGTTACTGGACTCACTGATCCTCTGAGGAAAACAGACAAAAGCAAACATGATTTACTCCCTCTTTATCCTAAAAAAATAAAATAAAATAAAAAAGTACCGGTAGATATTTAGAGACATAATTTACTCTACTGCGCTAAATCAGAAAATGAATACATGCTCTATGTCACAGATTTAAAGTATTGATCGTTTCTCTTTGTTTCACTTCAAGGGAAGGGAAAAGAAGTTCCGGTAGTGTCAGATCCCAGAAAAAGTCTCCCTACCTGAGCTTTATCCAGAAGCGGCTGAATTCTCTCTCTGGCCTGCTGCTCGGCTCGCTCAGCCCACTGAGATGGTGAGACAACTTCTGACCTGTACATCAAAACACACCCACACTGCAAGCTGTCACAGAAGAAGTTGTGAGGCTGATTAGCTTCCAGATACGAAAATGAGCGAGTCCCCAAAAACACGATCAAAGCAGTGTACTGAGAAAGTCCTTGCATGGGTGAAACTCATTTAGAGCAACCTTCTCCAGGCCCCAAAACACAACTGCATATGCAGACTGATTTCATTTTACTACAAATGTTTTCCATCCTTAAAAAGCCAAGTCTGTATTAAATATTCAAATACTGCTCATCACAAGAATTTACACTACACCGTGTAAATCCAGCCTCATCCTGTCCTCTGATATAAACGGCAAGAAATGTTACCATCAGCTGTAGCTTTGTGTTTGAGGAAGAAGCATGAAGGGCAAACCTGCATATTGCTGTAATGTAATCACAGCTTTATGGGTTATGTTGCTAGCTTTACTATCCAATCACTACTTCCAAAAATGTAAATGGATATAAAGGAACATATGCCCCCTTGCTGACGGGAATATTGCCGCAATAACAACCTTCATTATTTTCTGTTCTATTGCTCGGAGGTAATTATACCAATGTTGTAATTGACAATTTAACTGTTTATTTAATTGTGAGGCCCGGTGCTTTGAGCAGTACGGAAGATCGCTGTGTGGTATATTGCCTTGGGTTGGCAGATTGACCCATACTTTTTTTTCCATCACTGGTGGCCATATAATCCTTTATTTATTTCTATACTGGCTAAAGGTAGTGTTGTAGTACAACACAATTGGTCTTTGTTTCAAGACCGGTCTCGAGACCACTTTTTGAAGGTCTCATCTCGGAATCGAAAGCATTTTTACTCAGCCTCGTCTCCGTCTCAGACTGGGCGGATTCTGGATTTTAAAACAAGAACAGTAAAGACCACCACTGACAGGCATCATTACTGTGATTAGAAAGAAAATGCCCCTTTCTAAAAGAACAAATAACTTAAACCTTCCCAGTTTTAAAGACTCAGTGAGTGCCCGCTGCACACAAGATGATGATTTTCATTGATAGTTATGGTCTTGTTCTTGTCTCGATATCGCCCTGCCTTGGTCTTAATCTTGACTCTGTCTCGATCCCTAAATGTCTTGGTCTTCTCTCGGTCTCGGAGCATCCTGCTCTTGGGTATGTCTTGGTCTCTGTTAGTGTGGTCTTGACTACACTAGATATAGGAGACATATTAGCTTGTATATCATGACGTCTATGCAGTAGTAGTAGGAGTGTATTTTGGATAGCATTTTGTAGAAATTGTACAGGCTTGAACTAGATAGATAGATAGATAGATAGATAGATGGAGAGATACTTTATAGATCCCGAGGGAAATTCAAACTATCCTCAAAAGTAAGCTTTGACCTTGTAATCTTAACCTTGTACCCCCTCAGATACTTCAAGTATGCTTACACTGTAATGATATTTCTACCAAACCTTAATGTCTGAATGCGGTCGGCCTCCTCTTTGCTTAGTTGGTTGAGCTCTCTCAGTCTCTGCATGGTCATCTTATCTAACCAGGCTTTCCTGTACAAAGACAGTAATCATCAGATGAAGCAAAATGAAAACCTCAATTAAGCAGTTCACATAAATAACCCATAATCTCTTCACCCAGGCTGCTAGTCTCTGATTAATTGCAAAGCACAACTGTAGTAATTAATATTTGATAAAACTGAGACGTGGTGTGGAGTACTGAATCAATGAGGTGCGTATTGGCAGTGAACAGGCAAAGCTATGAATCACTCAAAGAGAAATGGCCTCAATCAAGCGGGCCGCTGGATTAATTTATTGGAAAGAATTAACTTTGAATTAGAATCAAACTGTTGCCGAAGGCTCTCAGCAAGTGGGGCCTGACACAGAGATTAAAAATACCTCACTGAATACAGAGAGTTATGTTACTTTTCCCAATAGCTCATCTAATTTAAACTTTGCAGGACAGATTTCAAAACCAATTAAATAAGAAGACACAACAGTTTTAATGTTATGATAGAAGTGTTTAGAATCTGGCTAAAGGTTGCACGTTAGACATTCACCTTAATGCTTCGTTTTGAGCGTGTGTTTCCGTTTCCGAGCTAAAACCAACAGCCACCTTCTGCTTCGGAGGGCTCAGTGACGGCTTCACAGGAGAGAAGAGACAGCGAGGCTCTGGTCTTCTCCTTGGAGGGGATCTGTTGAAATAACAGCAGAAAGGAGGGGGAAAGGAGCATGACACACAGGCAAAATACTGAACAAAGACTTTAGTGTAATGAGGAAAGTTAGAGGTGCTGAGTAGAAGTTATAGTGAAATCAGAGAAAGCCAATTAAGACAAGGAACTTGCAATATCGCAATTTTGTCAATTTCTTTGACATTTCTCAGTTACGCAAATGAGCCTAAAAAAAGACCTGATACATTTCAACCCGTGTCTTTGCTTTTATCATCCAGTTAACTTGGAATGTGTTTGTTTTTCTGCTTTACTGTCCCACGTTACTGAATCTATATTCATTATAGATTGTCTTAGGATCACTGTGAATGTAAGCCAGTGTCCGTCAAGCATGTTGATGAATATGACTCACATCCACCCACATGCTGAAAAATAAACAACTTCACAGATTTTTCTCTCCTGGCACATTTTGCACTGATTCACGTGTATGTGTTTCAAGTTTTTTGTGTTCAGAACACATTTGTTGAAAGAGCATAAATGAGCTGATTCATACAGGCTGAAAAGTTTTACCTTGAGATTCAAGTTCCCTACACCATTAGTACAAAAGTAGGTTAGGCTTTAAAAAAAAAAAAATCAAATGTGTCATCAGCTGTAGAGAGCGATAAAAGGCTCACCGCTGTGGAGGAGGAGAGTGAGGGGATGTAGGTATCCAGGGCACAGAGTGCTCTTTTTGAGGGAGCTGGTTCACTCGCAGCTGAGAGGAGACTGTGGGCAGCTGGAAACCTGCTTCTTTTATCTGATTACGCTGTGACAGAAAAGGGATCAAATTCATGTTTGGACTGTTAACATGATCCTCACATTGTTTGATTTGTTAGATTCTGACAAATTGTTAAATACAAATTCATTGAAAAAGATTGCTTCAAAGATCATCTGAAGCATTTCTAGAGTGTTTTAACATCTTCATCTGAGTATTCCTTCATACCTTGTTTATAATGTCAGCCTTGTTCCTATCAGAGTGTTGGTCCCCTCCTTCTCTGCAGTTCATGTTTGTCTGAGCTTGTGTTGGCTGCTCTCTCAGTTCCCCCTGTTGTGCGAATCTCTCTAGGCCAGCCCTGAGTAACTCTCTCCTGTTTATAAGCTGCTGATGAGACGCTGTTCTAGGCTTCTGCAAGGCCCTTCTCCTTCCTACTGGAAAACATGTAAGCATGTAATTTTGTTTAGATCTTAGTTTCTTATTTTTATTGAAATACAATTGAATAATTGATACTGTTACATGAACCCAAATGCTTGTCAATCACTTTTACACACATAAATCTGTTCAGAAGCTGCTCCAACACAACATTGCCAGCACTCTTGACAACCAGCTGGATCCCCACTGGCCTCTTAATAAGTGACACGGGATCTAAGTACTGCAACAAAAGAGGAGAACTAGCAAGAGCTAAAGCTCACTGTAGGTGTTTGTGCCTCGTCTACCACAGGATGCCTCTCTGCGCAATAGGAGCCAGCAGGAGTCAACCTCTCATAAGACTAAGCAGCAGGGGGCTGAGGGCCACAGTTCTGCACTTCAGAGCCAGTTTTCTATCACTTCGACTTGTCTTCATGGCTCCTTATCAATTTTCAGCCAGGTGCAACCATTTAGGCCCAGCAGGAGGTCCATACAACATCATTACAGCAGTCCTAGGTAACCTCCAGATACACAAGAGAGTAAATCGGCTGTCCTTCTTCAAGAGGTGAACATACAGTTTTTTCTCTGTGTGGCTTTAAGGGGCGTTGGGTGCTGGTAGGTCTTTGCCTTCCTCCTAAAATACTGCTTGTTCATAGTTCCATATTCACAGATGGATTACAAAAAGGGAAAGGATTTTAAATTTGCTGTTATCTTTTCCAAAAAAAAATCAAACACTCACCATGGAGACCCCTTTTGGGATTCGGGGCTTTGCACGGTCCTCGAACAGATGAGGTACTTGGACCCTTGGGTGCCCTAATAGGTGACATGCTGTGATGGGGAGACTTCCTGTGTGGAGGACAAGTTTGGGCCTGCTTCTTTTCGAGCATCTCTTGTTTATTGAGGGCAGAATCCAAAACCTTCGAGGAATTGAGTAGCAAGACATTTAAATGTTAGATCAGATGTGAAATCACATTCACAAAATGATGACTTAGGCAATCATTTTTCACAAGCTGTATGATGTGGAATTTTTGCACTTTAAAACAAAAACCATGACAAAGCATTTTATGTGCATACTAATTCCTCACCTCCAGTTTCTGCAGGATGTCGAGGGCCGTCTCAGGCACAGCTGAACCCTGCTCCACCTCAACCTTTGCTGAGCACAAAGAGAGCTGACGAATCAGCTGCCCCAGCTCTCTGTGGTAAGAGGGCAACTTTCCATGAGATAGATCTGAGAGCTGGTGAATAACAGCCTGCAAGGTCCTGAGTGCCCCACGGTGGGCAGCTGCCAGTCTGCTGATTGCTGTGGACTGAAAAATAGAACAGATATTGAAACATCTGACATTTTAAAACAGATATCTTGTTAATGTTGCTTGCCAGTACAGTTGGTGCAAATTTAGGAAAACGTCTTTCAGCAAAATAAAACCCTTTTAAAAAATAAAACAAAAAATGCTACAGAAACTGTGTCAGTTAAATATCATGGTAATAAGTTTCAGCCTTATCATTAATAGTTTAATGACGGTCTTAGGAACAAGATACTATTACAAGCGAGTCCACAGACCACTTATTGGTGCGTATAGATACATGGTGTGCATGTAGAACATTTGTTTGTTGGGAGATAACGGGCTAAAAATTAAAATTCACCTATTTCTTTTTTAAATCATAGTACACAGAGGAAGAAATTGTTGCAGCTCTACATATCAACAAATCTGTGTCGGTGATAAAGTTCTACCTTTTTAGTGTCCCATATGTTCTGGCATCGTAGTTTTACAATATCATCTTGAATCTCTTTTACCTGTAAAACAAAAGTATTGATGATCAGTTTAGATACAAGGCATATTCAAAAGTCAGTGAAGGTTCATTTTCGATGACATTGGATGGAGATTTGATAACCTGCTGTTGGAGAACATAAATCATACGTCCTGATCGAGCTGCCTGCTTCTGTCTGCGCATCTCCAGCTTGTAAAGCTCTTCAGGCTCCAGAGGCTCCTCTACTTTGTCTCCTGTTGTAAAAAAAATACCTTTAGTCAACAATATCAATCACTGTTCGAGTTTTGTTAAACAAAACTAAAGGTGTGCTTGTTAAAAACAGCTGCCTATGCTATGACTTTACAATATGATCATTTGTTAAACATCAGCCTGATGTAGCAAACCCCTTTTTTTCACCTTTTTGTTTTGGATCACCTCTGTTGGCTAGCTCTTCAACTTTCTGGATATACACCTCCAGCTCATTTTGCAGTTTGTGGATCTCATGGCTTAAAGGAGCCTCTTTGCCTTTTTCCAACTTCCCTGGGTCTCTGGTTGGGGGTGACTGGCCAGCGTGAGGTATGGGAGAAATTGGATGTTTGTGGAAAGTGTGCACAGACAGTTTGGCTCCAGGTCGTCCTGCCTTCTGTTTCGGACTGGAGGCCTTCAATTTTGCTTTAGTTGGAGTGGCTGCAAGCTCCTACAGAGAGAGAGAGAACGACTCCCTTTGGTCAATGACTGTACTAAGCAGCAACCATTCCTTAAATATCATACCATTTATCAAGTATGGTTACCTGAAGTAGCTCTACGTCACTTGTGTAAAGAAGGGAGGGCTCCTGAGAGGGTTTTGGAGGGGATTTTGTGAGTGACTTACGGCGCCTTCTCCTCAGATCACGCTTTGCAAGCTGGACTGCAGCGTGTAGCCGCTCCTCAGAGAGGGCGGTGAAGCTGATGGAGCTTCTGGCGCTGTCCATCTTCCCAGACTCCTCTGTCGGCGGCGGCAGCAGCCTTTCAATAACGATGGGGGCTGGTGGGCGCACATGGGTGGCTCGTCGGCCAGTACTTGCAGGGATAGCTTCATTGAACAACAGCTGTGGGTTTTAAAGATATCAGTCAGACATTATAAGTATGATGCACAATCTTGCTGCTCACATCACTTTCTCATAAAGTATTATATTCATATGCGTCTTGTTTGTTTGATTATCTAGATCCAAATCAATCAAAAGACCTTCAAGTAATTCTACAAAGAGATAGTCGGTTCACTTCATTCGGCTGTCTACTCGGCGTTATATTGTATAGTTTCTACTTATAATATGTCTACACTCATGCACTTGAACTTATGTCAATACTGTCCATTTACGACTCTGTTTTTGCACATTTACATTCAATCTTCCATATTTAATCTTCCTATTTAAGACTAGTAATGCTTAGTGAAATCCTGGTTGTATATATTCACATTCTTATTTTTGATATCTTTTAGTGCTTATTTACTTTGTAGTTAATATTATATTGTGTTTAGATTTACTAACATTGTGGTTTTTTTTAACTCATATTGTGTGTTTGGATAACCTGCTGCTGTAACGCCACACTTTCCCAGTTTGGGATCAATAAAGTAATTCTATTCTGTTCATTTAAATATCTGACCTTTCTCATGGTTTTATTATTCTGTTGAACTGCATTGATCTTCACAGAGTGATGTTTGTAATATCTCCTCTATTATCTCTCTTGTGTTATATACAGTGTATGCAGATGTATCTATAGAAGACATACATATAGACATTCATTATTCACAAATTATCGACGTACCTTTGTTTGCGACATCCCAGTAAAACCACTGTGGTTATGATCCAGCCCAGTCTCTACCTCGGCATTGTGGGACCACTTTTCAAGAGCTATGCGTATGACTTTTTTTTAGTAAATATTATAAATTAATGTATGTACAGAGAGAGAGAGAGAGGCTCAAAGTACCAGCTGAATTGAAATATAGCTCATAGTTATCTTTTTCAAATTGAATCCTACTTCGGCAACAGTTTGAAACGCCGCCATGACAACAACAAAACGCCAATTGACGGAAGTGCTTTACCCAGTACGGATCGTGCGTGAAGTCAAAAATCACCACAAGCGCATTTTTTTATGACATGATATATATATATTTTCAGATTTTTTTTTTTTTTTTAAATATATCCACGGTGTTTCTGTTCAAATGCAATAATGGCAATTACATTTGACGTCTTTGTCTTTTTGAGTTTTAAAACGTCTAAATAAACATCGCTGGGACGCGGTCACTTTAAGAGACTTTGCACAAACCGGAAGTAGTACTGTCTCTTATTTTAAGCGTATTTCTACCAGGTCCCGTGTGCAGGTCAGCAGTATTTCAGTTAACTGTTGTTACTCCCTCATAGTTTAATAGTTTATTTAAGTGCATAGACGTCACTCGGTTCAAACGATGGCCCATTACGAAGAAGTCAATGTGCGGGGATATGAGGAGTTCTGTAAGGCTGTGTCTGGAAGAGCAGGGAAGGATATTTTTGCTTATTTCTCTGGTGATAAAGACGCCCAAGGTGCGAGCTGGTGTCCAGACTGTGTAAAAGGTAAATTCACATGATTTTACAATTTTACTATGTTCTTCTTAAGCGTTTACTTTAATAATCAACTGATGTGTGGTCGTGTATGTGTAACATCATGTAGGAAACTTCTTTTGCTTTTGTAGTGAGATGTGTATATGTCCTATTATTTCATATGTGGTGCTCTGTCAATGATGTTAAAAAATGTTTTCTTCTCACACTTCTTTAGCCGAGCCAATTGTAAGAGGAGAGATGTCTCATCTTCCTGAGGGCTCTGTTTTTATCTACTGCCAAGTTGGAGAAAGAGCCTAGTCAGTATATTTTTAATTCTGAAAATGGTGTGGAAAGTGTTTTATCACATCAGCAGCAGCTTGCGTCCCTGTGCTGACAAATGATGTCATAAAAACAAAACAAAAAAAGCAACAGCACAATATGTAAAAGCTGAAAGTAGAATTATATAAAGTTGTCTCGTAAGTATTTTAAAATCACAAAAATACACACCCTTTAAATGTGCTTTAGGCCTAATGCTACTTTAAAGTTGTAGTTTGACAAACTAAGCCAAAATGTAATCTTCATTCGAGCTAACTTGATTTAAAAAAAAAAAAAGTATGAAATGGTAAGATAATTTTTTTAATAGTCCTGAAGTTGCAAGTCATTTATCTCTTTGAAGGATGACTGTGTGTGTGTGTGTGTGTGTGTGTGTGTGTGTGTGTGTGTGTGTATAAATAAATAAAACATATATTGAAGATTGTTGAATTTAGACTTTTTTTTGTACTAACTCACTTACGTTTACATTTTTCAGACAGTCTGAATTTTCTGCAAGAATGTAAAGTGTTTGGTACAAATCACAGCCCTGATGGAGCAGACTAAGAAGGAAGATTTTATTTCCGAGCAGTCTTGCAATTCTATCTTAAATATTTCTGCATTGCGGTATTTACACCAATAATTGTTTATCTGCACGCAAACAGGATTTAGTGAGGCAACGATTTAACTAAACATCACAAACTCCTTTCTGTTTCAGACAGACGATCTTCTGTACAGTGTTCATCATGTGCTGTAAAAATGTATTTACTTAATCAGGGCACAAAGTGATGCGTATTATATACTTTTTATATCAATAAATTAACCATTAAATTCTAAAATGAGTACTCTTTATAAGCCTGCTCTTTTGTTAACTGTATGGGTAAAATATATCAGCTTCCCTTTTTCTTTTTTCATGCTTCAGTTGGAAGGATCCTAGTAATGACTTCAAGAAGACACTGAAGCTGAGTGGAGTTCCCACTCTGCTGCGATATGGAACGGTAAGAATAACTTCTATTTGCTTCACGATTTTCTTGAAACCGATTACATGAGAATAGGTCTTACTAAAAATAAAAAAAGAAGAAATAATTAGAAGTGACTTAATAAGAGACATGTTTTCAAGCTATAGTCAGTCAGTCCCTTATAAAATGTTGCATATGAAAAAGCATAATCCACTATATAATGGATGAATGTCCACATAAAGCACAACCTGTCATCTGTTTTCAGCCTCAGAAGTTGGTGGAGGAGGAATGCTTCAAAGCTGACCTTGTGAAGATGATGTTCACTGAGGACTGAGAGATCCTGCCTCGTCCACATCGGTCATGATCATTCAAGATTCCTTAACCAGTCAATGTAATCACCATTCAGTTTCAACACTATTGATAACCATACTGTACATCCGAGGTACATTTCTTAATGTAGTTTAAATCATATCAGCTACTGCGTAAGTTTACAACCATACTAACAGTTCTTCTTTGTGAGGTTTGCGACACAGCTGTTCAATTTAACCAGTGCTGGATAATCTGCAGACAATCTCATAGAATAAATGTGATTCATGCTGCTTACTCTTGTTGCTCTATATGTGCTATCACTTAATTCTGTGTTATCATTTGAGTTTGATACATTTCTTTGAAATATGTATCTAATTATTACACAATTATTTTTATTGTGACACTTTTTATGTGATTTGTGTTTCCTTGCAGTGGGGCTCAAATAAAATGATACTTGATGATGAAAACATTTGCAAGTGGAAAACATTTTTTGTAACATTTTACTCCATACATTTTTAATGTGTTTTTGACAGATCACAGATCAATTCCCATGCAGGTGAAGTTGTGCCAAAAATCCCCATCTCTACTTTAAGGCTGCCTCCGCTCTTAATGATTTTGTTCTTTTTCCTTACAGTTGGATGTTTAGGTTTGCAATCTTTTACATTCATCTGCTGGAGTGGAAGTTTCTAAGTGCTTTTTGCAAATCCCATGTTCAGGGGTAATTTGCAGGAAGGACTTGTTTACACGTTTACTTTGGAAACTCTTACGGCAAATTTTGGTTCAATATTCATTCTCCAAAATAATGAATACGAAAACTGGAAATTTAAATTCACATGCATTGATTATAGGTTTTACATTAAAATAGAAAACACCTGATGACCAGCAAGACAATGTAGGTTCTTTATTTGTAACGATTGAAAGGAATGGTAAGGTTTGTATTTTAAAGAAAATATATGATTAAAAAAAAAAAGGCACCTAAGAGCAATTTCATTGAGTGTCCAAACCGTTCAAACAAGTCTGGAGAGCATTGAAAATGTTTGCAACTCAAGTAGTTTCAGTTTGTGGCCACTAGGTGGCAGCAAATCCATAGGTATAGGAAATTGCTAAATGCCCTTTTTAAATTTGCTTAAATTAATTTAGCGTTGTCTATCAAAGTTTGTTAAATAATCACAAACCAAGTAAATAATTGAATAAAATGTAGTTTAGAAGTCAAACCTAACATTCAGGTGCTTTCATTTGAAAATAGGTTCATTTTTAGGAAATAAAACATTTAAATTCAGCCATTAGATTAATATAGCTGTATTGGAAAAAAAAAAAAAACATACTTAAAAAACGTGATAAACTAAAACAAAATTGATACTTATAAGAGATGCCATGATTAAAGATGATTCTCTTGGGGTAAAAGAGCGCAACCGCTGTTGCAGTCGGGTTGATAAAGCGGAGCGCATTCCTGCACAGCGCTCACACCGGAGCACGAGCCGCGGTGGAGAAGCACAGACCGCAACGCCTCACAGGGGCTTGGGAGCTCACCTAGAACCTCAGATTGGAGGTGCAGGAAGTGCCGGGTTTCGCCTGAACACTGTGGTGTGTACATGTACAACAGCCTCAGCTGAAGGTAACGTTGTGTGTGAGAGGACTGTACGCTGCCATGTCGGAGTTTCTGGTGAGTCTGTTCGGGGAGCGGCTCGTCAACAGCGAGAAAGCCGAGGTGGACGTGCAGTCGCTGGGCGCCAAGCTGTCCCTGGTCGGGCTCTTTTTCGGATGTAGCTTGAACGCGCCGTGCAAGCAGTTCAACGGCAGCCTGTGCGAGTTTTACAGCAGGTTCAAAAAGACGTCTGAGCACAAGGAGAAATTGGAAGTCGTCTTCATCTCGTCCGATCAGGACCAGAAACACTGGCAAGACTTTTTGCAGGAGATGCCATGGCCTGCGTTACCTTTCAAAGACAGACACAAAAAGGTAAGAGGCTGTGGGGATGAAGAGGGACACTGCTGAATCAGTGCTTGTTCTCTGGGATGTTTTTGTCTGTGTGTTTAGTGGGCTGGAGACCCCACCAGAGAACCCCCCTGTAGGCCGTGTGTGCTTCCCCTGTCAGTGCACAGGTGTAAAAAGGCTTTAATTTGGGTCATTTAATCGTCTTTCCTCACCATAAACATCCTATTAGGTTGATCAACTTTACTAACTCTCATCAACTGGACGTCATTCCTAAATGATCTGCCCTCGAAGACAACCAGCCTATCCTAAACACAAACAAACACACACTCGGCTAAAATAACACGTGATAACAAACAGTCAATGTATGTAGCCTCTTTATTTCACATTAAACACATTTAAAAAAAAAAAAAGGTTTTGTCAAATGCCATTCGTGATAGCAGATAAGCTGTAAAGATTTTTATGAGAAATAAATCTTTTTAATCCTGCTTCACATCCTGCAGCCAGTGTTGGAACCATCTCAGCATTTAACTTAATTTGATCAAGATAATCCAAATATGGCAGAGCAGACATTCCTCGCTTATTAACAGGGAAGGAAACTCTTATTTCCCTCTTTTTTTTCCCTTTCCACTGACTTCCACATGTGACCAATTATTTTTTTTTTTAGTAACATGTTTCCCTTAAAATCTGAGAGCCAGGTTATTGTTGTGTCTATCACATGTAGCTGTATGTGCAGCCTGCTCAGTAAAGGCCTTTATTGTGCACACCATCCAAATTTAAGCAGTTTTCTCTGGTTTGATACAGTTTTTAAAGAGCGTATAGTTCACTGCATTAAATTCTCTCTTCCATTTTTTTTTTTTGTCTATTTTGTAAAACTACAGAGCTTAGAATTATTTATCTCTTTATTATATATTCTTTGAACACTTGGTGTACATGTTTACTCTGCAGAAGACCAGACAAAGGAGATAGATTTACTTGAGGATGTTGGTAAA